AGCTTTAACAATAATTTGGTGGCAAATGTTACCTAGATCTATGTAATCTAAAGTGGGGGCATGATGGGCGTGGTGGCGTACACTAATCCCAGCACTCAGGAGGCTGAGGCAGGAGGACCACCACCAGTTCAAAGCCAGCCTGGGCTACATAGTGAATTCAAGGCCAGCTTGCACAACAAAGCAAGACTCTGAATCAAAAAATAAAAAATAAATAATGTGGAGACAGTTCTAAAACTAGACTTATTTCAAGAAATTGTACCATAACTTTCTAACAGTGTACTACAGTTTGGGTAACTAGCCCATATATTTGACCACACTATACAGAATAAATCAAAAGGATGTCTGAGTTGGAGAGTTCTAAATATAAAGATGAATCTCACAACATAAAGATTAGTTTTAAGCAAGAGCTCAATAATAACCTTCAGTATTTGATGCCTGTAAATTGCCACATCTAAGATCTTAGCTTTGAACTTGATCTTTTCCCTCCAATTTCTCCAGAGAAATCTTTCTTAACAAACAATGAGTAGGCACTTGCTCTGAGTCAGACCCTAGTTACCACTGGAGCAAATAAAACCTATACTTGGGACTGACCATGAGACACTCCCAAACACCATAAGGGACACTTATAGCAGTTCTTAACAATTGGAAGAAGTTTCCTCTGTCACTGTTATGCCAGAAGATTCAGTAAGCAAACCCTATATTTAGAAAGTACTCTTCCTAGAATGGATTATGGAATTTGGGTCTCTTAAAGTTTATGATAGAATTCAGGAAATCTGTGAATTTGGACCCCCAAAGTTATATATCTATTTTCATTAAGCTCTAATGAATTTGCCACTTCCTTCAGTTATGAACATAAGCCACAGCAGTAAAAGATTTAGTAGACAAATAGACTCTGCCACCAAGAGAAATCATAGTTTCAAATACTTGCTACAATTACCATGAAATAGTTTAAACCTATGATCATTTTAACATTATTATAGCTCTAAGATCTACTGGTAGACAGTAAACATTATTTATTGTGCAAATAAAAAGCACATATAATGCTATGTCATACACTTAAAGAATTTTTTTTCAGTACCAGGGATGGAACTCAGGACCTTGCCCTTTCAAGGCAGGCATGGCGCCACTGAGCTAAGCCCCCAACCCTCACTTAAAGAATTTTTTAGCTAGGTGTGTTGGCTCATGCCTGCAATCCCAGCACTCTGGGAGGATGAGGCAGGAGGATTGCAAGTTTGAACCCAGCCTGGGCACCTGAGCGACTTAGTGAGACCCTGTCTCAGAATAAAATTAAAAAGAGGGCTGGAGATGTAGCTTGATGGTAGGGTGTTTGCCTAGCATATATGAAGCCCTGGTTTCAATGCCTAGCATTATACAAACACATTTAGTGCCTAGCATTACACACACACACACACTCTCTCACTCCAAAAAACACACGGTCTACCATATTGCCAAAGGGGTCATGATGTGAAAAAAGATTAAGACTTTTGTTCTTGAGCCAAAAAGCAAGCAAACATAATCACATCTAAGGTAATTCTCTGTAGATTAAAAAACTACCACCGTTGAGGATCATCTACTCATTATGTTCTCTAATATAGAGCAAAAACCACATGTCACTATTTTTAGCAGCCCTCACTTCAAAACCAGTTTGCAAACAAACAGCTGTGCATATGATTAACAGCTCAGTATATCCATGGGTTCCCCTAGCTCATTGGCAGTCATCCTAGTCCAAACATAGAAAGCCTCAACCTAATAGAACTTTCAACCTGTGATTACAAGAGAGCTACCAAGAAAGAGATGAAAAAAAAAAAAAAGCCTGCTACATATCTATCTACTAATGTGGTTTGCAAAGAGTAAAAGAGAGACAATTCAATTACATGCATGTGGGGAATTTAAAACAAGAAAAAGCAGTGATGCTTTCCAGGACCACAGAGTGAGTCAATGTTAACATGGCATAAAGTAACCCGGGACTGCTGAATCCCAGGCTCTATCTGACCAGACCATTCTCCTTTAAGGAATTACATTTCCAAAAAGGAAGTCCCCAAGAAAAATAAAGCCCCACCTGTCCGTGCAAGGGTGAATAGCAGGCTAAAGGGTAAATAAAGCTCATTTTTATCAATCAAGCTAGCAGATTGATTTTCAAAGAGAATGTCCAAAGCGACTAGGTCAAAAAGAATCATTTCGGGCCAGGGATTTAGCCAGTGGTTTCGCCGCCTGCTGCACAAGAACCTGAGTTCCATCCCTGGTACCAAAAAAAAAAAAAAGAATCATTTCATTCTGCCAACACAAAGGGGTCCCAGAGTGAGTAACAGGCTAAGTGTCTTCACCTCTATAGTCTGTTAGCTACAAAAACTCTTGAGTAGTTCCTTTTAGTTAGGCAGAATGTAAGTCAAACAAACATCTGGTCTAGATAAAAATGTAAGCAGGCATTTAGCCAAAGGCTGTCCTCCACTACTCACTACTCATTCCCATTTCAAAACCTTTCTGAATTCTCATCCTCCATTACAAAGTGTGTAAGTTTGTAGGTGTCAGGATGGCAGTAAAGTAACCAGATTAACAGAATGTGTGTTTGTTTGTTTGTTGAGGTCTCACTATGTAATTCAGGCTGGCCTTGAACTCATTATGTAGCCCAAACTGGCCTTGAAAGCATGGCAATCCTCCTGGCTCAGCCTCCCAAGTGCTGGGATTATAGGTGTGTGCCACCAAGCCCAGCTTAAAGAGTATGTGATAAATTAAAATGACCTCAAGCTTTTTTCATTAGACATTTTTGTTGTTGTTTTTAGAGTCAGGGTCTCTAAGGCTGAGGCAGGAGGACCACTTCAAGTTCAAGGCCAGCCTGAGCTACAGTTAGTTCAAGGCTAGCCTGAACTACACAGTAAGCCACTGTCTCAAAAGAGAGAGGAGGAAGCAATAACATTTAATTTTTTTATATTTTACAGTACTAGGAATTGAAAGCAGGGCCTTTAACACTGAGCAACATCCCCAGCCCTTTTAAAATTTTTATTTTGAGACAGGGTCTCTCCAAGTTGCTAAATTACCCAGGCTGGGCTTGAACTTTTTTTTTTTTTTTCTTTTTTGGTTTTTTGAGGCAGGGTCTCCCTTTGTAGTTCAG